CATGTGCACACCTGCCACTGACTCCGAGCACTCATACCCATCCAAGCGCACATGCACACACGCACACACACACACACACCTGAACCCCATGTTCCAACAGCCCCACAGAGCAGTCAGCGCCTGTGGCAGGTTCCTTAGGCCCCTCTTCTCAGCAGGGCTGACGGCAGGCGGCAGCTCCCAGAATCCCCTGTTCTCTGTCTCCCTGCTGCGTCCAACCTAGGGAGGCACTGATAAGAGGCTGAAAGGTAGGAGGACGTGGAAACCAGGGGCTGGCTCCCTTCTCCACAATGGGCAGTGCCTCCAGCTCCCCTGAGCAGAGGCCCAAGGTGCTAGCTTCCATGGTGATCCTGCCTCTTCCCTTTGTCCTTTGAGGCCTGGTGGGATGGGTGCTTCCTACTGCTGTCTGTCTCTTGATGCTATCTCACCACCCCAACTGGCCTCTCACCTCCTGTCTCCTTTGTAATCAATTCCCTATGTTTAGTTCCCTCTGCCCTCAATAATCAGGGTGTTTTCTGCTTTGCTGGTTGGATCTGGGATGACATGGCCAGCAGTTGGGCAGGATAAGAGGCAGCACTCCATTCCAGGGCATGCCCCTTTCCTCAGCTGGGGACACACCTGCTGTACACACCCCACCCCCAAGCAATGTTGTCTCTCTCATCTCCTACCATACGTGGCCACCTGCAGGTACTGGAGTTGTAGGTACACATGAGCACACCATGTACAAATGCTCACATGTACACATGCACACTCCCCATCAGGGGAGGGCAAAGATCAGGAAAAAGAAGCTTGATTTTGGGGATGGCCAGTGGGCCTCGGCAGGTGCTGAGTGTGGCTGGCTACCTGTGCATAAAATCAAGTCCAAGGAGCACAGATGGGTAAGTACACACAAATCTATGCACCCAGACCCTAATGTGCACCTATGTGTGCATGCACATACAGGTGTGCTCACATCAGAGACACAAACATATGTGTACACAGACATGGACACATAGATACACAGACCCTGCATGTATGCACGTGGAGAAATGGACATGGCGCACAGCCCCATGCACACACACACTTGGAGGCACAGGCAACACGTGCCACGGTGCACACATTTTCACATTGTGCATGTGGATCCTGGAGGACACACATGCTGAGCACACAGATGGAAGCTCCTCCCTCACCTCATGCACACCATTCCGAAACAAGCAAGGAGAGTCCACCAGAACCAGCTGGATACACCTTAGTCCTCTGAGGTGTTCTCCCCACCCCCCAACCCAGGTGAGGAATATGCAAACATCCACAGAAGAGTGGGTGTGTGTGGTCGGACACAGATAGGTGGGGCTCTGAGGATGTGTGGGATTCCACGTAAGATGGGTTGTGATACTTTGCTTCCAGCTGGTCTGGTCTCAGGTGGTTCAGGAAGTTCCCTGCCTCCTCCTGGGCACCAGCACCTCAGATTTTGCCATGAGCATATCCCCTGCTCCTCAGCCAGAGTCCATTCCTCAGCTGGCCTGTGACAGAGTTGGCCCTGAAGCTGCCTCAAGTTGGGAGTCAGTATGAGTCAGTGCCTCCTGCCCAGCCTGGGGGGAACCTGGTCCAACAGCTTGGCCTAGCTCATAGGAAAGAAGTGAAGTCAGGGTGGTAACAGCTTCTCATTTACCCCCACAACAGAGCTCTTTCCTGGGGAGCTCTGCTGCAGATTAACAGAAACACATCCAAAGTGCAATCCAAAAGGAAATTGCTAGCTTTGGGTAACTTCAGGTGTGGATGGACCCAGGTGATCCACACGCCTCTGTGGGCTATACTTTCTTTCCTTGTAGAAGGAGGAGGGGGACTGGAGTCACTGACTGAGAGTTGACAGCTGCTTCTGAAAGCAGACCACAGATGTTCCCCAGCAATCTGGACATTTTCTTAGCTGTTTTGTATGGGGAAACTGAGGCTCAGGCCTAAGGGACTTGCTGGTATTTCTTGACAGCCAATTGGAAGCTCTGGGGCCAGAAAAACCCCACTTTCTTTCTCTGCACCAGGCTCCTCTCCTGCCCAAGCCCATGATGGGAGCTGCCAAGGGACCACCTTGACTCTAGGGCAAACAGGGCGGAAGACACTGGAGAAGCTGGCCCCGGTCGCTGTGCCTCACTCATTCACCAGTTCTGGTTCCACAGCCCTGTACCACATACTATGTGCTGCTGGGAGCTGAGGCCTGAGCCAGATGGGCACCAGGAGGAGGGGCAGAAGTCGCATGGAGGGATTGACCCTTGCTGGAAGAAGGGATGCCTGGCACTGTGCGAAGAGAGGAAGGGGCCTGGGAAAAGGGATGTGAACTCTGGAACCAGGGTGGAGGTGGGAGATGGGAAATGAAAAGGGCAGGCCAGCTGACAGGACAGGCAGTGCATCTTATTCTCAGGACCACATGACAGTTCATGAAGACCCAGAAAGACTCCTGGGCAGATGTGTAGCTCTGAGTCACTAAGAGCATTGTTAAATACAATTTACAGGGGGCCATCTTTTCAAATTAGCCTTCTTCACAGGCCAGCAGCAGACTAGACTGATCCAGAATGCAGCTGCTCCTGCCAGGATCTCTGTGATCAAGCTGAACTCTCAAATGGGCCAGTTTTTCAAGAGCCACATAGAAGTCTTCTTGGAATGTAACTCAGAAGCAACCAGTCTACTTTCTATCCTCAGCCTCTGCTTTCCTCAGAACTTTTCTGTCCATCAAACCAGCCTCCTCTGCTGGGCTCATCAGAACATTCACATTTTATAGAGTGAGGGGTTGCTCGGTTTTAGAATGGCCAAAGATCAAAAGCCAATTAAGATCTTTTTATCTGTTGTAATTTTCTCATTTGACAGTTCTGTGGGGACAAGAAGCAGGGTGGGCCTGGGCTGAGACCCCCAAGACAGACTCCGCTGAGAGAGACAGGGCACAGGGAGATGGAGGAAGGGCCATTGGTTCTGAGGAGTCCCCTGCCCAGCACCTCCTCTTTCCCCATGGTCTCTGCCTGGAGCAGGGGCTACCCAGGTTGCCCTTGGCCTGATTCCAGGTTCTGCTATTTGACCTCAAAACCCTTCCAGTGATGTGGTCTTGCAGATGTGCAGTGATCTGTGGCCTGGTAGCAGGGCATCTCACTAGCTGCTTCTTAGGCCTCCATCACTGGTTGCCTCTCAGACAGGCCAGGGTGAGAGCAGGTAAGTGCAGCCACGCCATCACCTCCCAGGGCAGATATGGGGCTTTGGCACTCTGAGGCCAAAGTAGCCTCTCCACAGGCTGACGGCAACATCACCAGCCCTGGCTGCCCAGAAACATGGCACAAGAGGCTATAGGCTGAGGGTGAGCAGCTGGTGCCTGTCCGGGGTCCTGCTCTCTACAGTGCTGGAATCTGAGGCTACAGGGTGGCCTGGGGAGGAGGAGGGTTTACTGTAGGAACTACAGGAAGCTGTGGCCAACCAGCAGGCCCTCCAGGATCACTGGCTGCTGGCCAACCTGCCAGTGTCAGCAGACACTGACACTGAGCTTTCTTGAGAAAGTTTGGCAGAGGGCAGCTGAGCCAGCCTAGTATGTATAACCTCTGCCTGGAAGAACTGGGTGCCACATATGAAGGGTGCTATTTTAGGCCAGGTGGCCTGGGGATGGCTTGTTATTCACAGGACAAGCTAGTACAGGCTGTGCAGCATCCAGTCAACACTCCTGTGTATCTGGTGGTCCCTTGGTTTCCCACCATGGAGCCCCCCACTTATACCTGGAGAGCAGGATGGGCATTTGAAGGGATTTTAAAGTTGAACAAAGCCCGGCAGCCTAAGGCTTCTGCGGGAGTCTCAGAAGGGGTCATTTCTGGCTTGAAAACAGCTATGACATCAGGCGACCTGGGTCTCCCTCCTCCCTGAGGTGAGGGTACACTTTGGCCTCCTTAGCCGCTTGCCCCTGCACGCTTCCAGAACATCTTTCTGCACTGTGAGAAGCTGACCCGGAACTTGTAGGGAGGGCGTCCATGGCTGTCTACTATTGGCCACCATGCAGCTTGGCTGAACACAAGAGCTAGATGAGTCTGCCCAGACAGTTGGACTCTTCCAGGCTTCAGCCTCCTCTTGGGCTTCACCTGGGAGGACTAGGGACAAGGAGATTGTTTGGCTGCACAGCCCAAGTCCCAAAAGAAGGCACCAGCTCCAGAGGGCTTGGGGAGGTCACCAGCAGAGTCATCTGAGGGTTCCAAGCTCCATCCCAAATTCCTTGCTCTGACAGTACAGGTCATAATATGGTCACGATGCCTTGGTTCAGGGACACAAGTGAGGTCAAGGACAGGATGGCCAGTGTTTAGACACCAGCTAAGCAGAGCACATCCCCAACCCAGTCTAGCATTGCAGTCCCCACATCCCGCATCTTTGTGGAATTACCAACACCCACCTTGGAGATCCTTCTTGGCTCCTACGAATCAGAGCCCATTCACAGGAGCTTGTCAGCCTCGCCCTGTTCTGGCCCCAGTTCCCTGTGCCTTCCTGAATACGGTGCTCTCTGGCTCTGCCTCAGTCCAGCTGGCACAAGGAGCCTGGACAGCACTGATCTCTACTGCAGGCCTGGTTCTTCAGTTCTTACCTCAGCCTGGTGCCCCCAGCCCTGCTGCCTCTGCAGCCCTTCCCAGCCCCCACCAGCCACAGATCACACTGTCCTTCCCCACCTGGGATCCCTTCCACCCAGTCTCTGGCCTGCTCTGCACTGTCCTCCAACTTTCGTGTCTGAGGACAGACAGAGCCTCCTCTGGAAGCTGGCCTGCTCTCTCCACTGCTCCTCCCCACAAAGAATGGTTTCCCTCTACTCCATCACATGGATTTTGTGGTGGCCTTGCTATTGCAGGGTAATGGTGGGTTCCTTGCTGCCTCCCTGGCCAGGGAACCCTGAGATAAGTCACTCAGTTCTGTGATACTGGTGTCCAGCAGTGCTCTGGTCAGAGAGTAGGCAGCAGTGATTGTTGGCCAGTGAGTGAATGACTGAAAACAGTGACATCTGCTTTATTTGTTTTCGGACAGTAGAACATACTCTGTTTCCTAAGCACATGGCAAGTGCAAGCTCAGGGGCATATGGAGGTGCCCAGCAGGAAATGGCAGGGTATAGTGGCTGTGGCCTGGGATCTGTGGTCCCATGATTGGTCCCTTCTTCAGGGTTCCAACTCACTGCCAAGACAGGAATGATGGCTGCTCCTCACCCCTACAAAGGAAATGGTCAGAATTCAGTTGTGGCCCTCTCTGTGCAGCACATATATAGCCCTGTGCTCAGGGCTCCTTGAAAACTGCCTGGGACAGTGTCTCTGCAGCGCCCAGCAGGACAAAGGCCCTTGCTCAACACATTCCTGTACTGATGTCAGCAAACACCCCACCTTACCCCCAATTTCTGGCTTAGAGGCCAGGGCTGGGTTCCCCTCCCCACCCGCGCTATGGCTGCTCTGACCTGCACCTTTGGTACAGAGTAGTCTCATCCTACATCTGCTGAGCCTCACTGAGACCTCCCCTTTGTTCTCTAAGTTTCTTAGTTGTAGCACTATCTTTGGCCCCAAGGTGCTATGCATGGCTGACACAGCTCTGGGCCTGGAGGGTGTCCCATAGGCATCTGAGCTTGGGCCCAGCTGCTTGGGCCTCAAGAGAGGGAAGCAGCACAGCGGCCACCCCAGTTCCCCAACCAGGTAGGCCTCTGTCCCTTGACACCTGACCGTTTTTGAAATCAACTCTCTCGGGGACCCTTCATGCCAGTTCCTGGCTCTGCCAGGAGCCTTATGAGGTGGAGGCTGCAGAGGGTAGAGAAGGTCTCTCCAGCACCTGCTGTACCTCAGGTATGGGGCCATGTGTGTGCCTGGGCACCAAGGCCCAGGGAGTCAGGTGGAACAGTGTGCTCCAAATATGGCTGGTGGAGCCAGGCCTGGCTTCTACTGTGACCAGTTGCTTATCTCCAATTCTCTCTCTAGTAGTGTTAGGGTGAGAGCTGGGAAGGAAGGGCCTCTCTCAGTGTGTTGAAGTGACAGAGGCACATTGGAGCTTAATGAAACTGTCTGCCTTCATTGTCACATTTTTGCCTTGGTACAATAGAGACACAGTTTGGTTAAAGATATACTCTGTGGAAGGCAGTAGGGGCTGTAAATGGCCAAGGACATGGGGTGGAAGGAGAGAAGGACAGAAACCAGTCAGGTTTGTAATGAGCAGGAACTTGGAGCAGTCCATCAGTGGTGGGGGTGGGAAAGGGCAAGCCTGTACTTTGTTGATGGCAGGAGACAAAGTCCTTGGTCCAGTCCAGTGCCCAGCTCTGTGGTCCCCAAGTCAGCAGGGTCGGCTGGAGGTGTCTTTTTGCTCAACTTGCGATCATGTAAGCAGACCTCCCTGCTCCGCATGGAGGACAGAAGCCCCTATCTTGTGTTCAGCTGCTGTTGGGCTCTGTTCTGGCTGCTAAGGGACAATTGGTACTGCTGTGGGCAACTCAGAGCAGGACAGCTGTCCTGGTAGGTGGGTGGAGTGGAGGAGAGCTGTGGCCTGAGGAAGCACTTACAAGGTGCAGCATGAAGTCCTCATTGTTCAGCTGGAGAAACGCCTCCTCGGACAGACACAGCATATGGCAGGCAGGAGAGCGCATGGCCTCCAGCCTCAGCCTTTTTGGTTTTTTTGGCCCCAAGTACTAGGGATAGAACCTATAACCTCATGCATGCCAGGCTGAGCTGCACCCCAGCCAATGGCCTCAGCCTTTTTCATCACAAGTATCTAAAGCAGTGTGTCCCCTACTCTGACAAAGAAGCTCTTCTGGAGAAGATAGCTTTGTTCCATGGCTCTCATAACATTTTAACAAACATGCCAACCTTCAGATAAAGTCTAAACGGGGCCCCTGGGGAGGAGGTCCTGGGCAGGGGTGGTAATATTGGATAGAGGAAGGACCAGGCATAGCATCAGAACACACTGCTGGACTTGGGCAGGGGTTTGGAGTGGTCTAGAAAGAAGACCATCAGCAGAGCAGTCGGGTAGGAGCCACTTGTAGGGTCAGGGAGAAGAGTGAGGCTCTGGAGCTTATCTCAGGCATCCAGGAAGCTATAGCCCATTGGTGTGGGGCTGGAGAGCACCTGAGGCCTGGGTCTGCTCATCAGGAAGGCTGAGCCATTGGCCTGTTCAGACTAGCACAGGCAGGAGGCAATCAGCTTTTGGTGGACCACATCTGCTCTTGCTCCTCTTCGCCTTCCATGGGGCTGTCCTTGCCCTCACCATGACTTCTACCCTCTGCACCAGGGGTAGAGCTTCTTTCTGTACTCTTCTTACAGCACCCTGTGCTGAAAGGTAAGGAGTTGGGCACACAGATGCCCTGAAGGTGGGCCTGACTTTATCCAGTCCAGTTGGGAAAAGCACCACAGGAACCACATTTTTGGGACAGGTATGGTAGCAGCCAGGCAGAGCTCTGAACTAGGAGGTGGCCAAGGAAATCAAAGACCCAAGAATTCTTCCCTTGGCCAATGCAGAGACCTCAAGGTAGAATGTCTGACTCCAGCCCATTAAGGCAGGTGGGTGGCCCCACACTCCGCCCCAAGACCCTGTTCCCAGGAGGCAGACAAGCCTTACCTTGTGGGCGGTGCTCACACAGTGCTGGTACGCATTGACTAGGTCTGAGCACAACAGCACCTCATGTAGATGGTCCCGGTAGCAGCGGAGAATCTGGGCCTGCAGGCCTGAGCACACTGGCTCCACCCTGCGGGGTCTGCGGGGTGACAAGAGCAGGAAGGCCTGGGCTCAGGTACTAGACTTGGCCAGGCCATTCTGTGGTGAGCAAGAGAGGTAAAAAACTCACACTCACTAAACACCCATGTGCCAGATATTAGACCAGGGCCCTGACATGCATCAGTGACCACTTAACTCATTCTAGACCTGACAGGAATGTAAAGGGGTCAAGCCCTGGGGTCAGAGCTGTAGGCTCACTCAGAAGCAGATGCCGTGTAGACTGGTCTGTGGGTCCGAGGCTTCATGCTGGGCTAGCTCCTGCCCTGTGATCAAGTGCCTCGAAGACGCAGGAAAGGGCCCTGGTGGGCAGTGACCCTAGCTGAGGCCCCCTTGGTCTCTATGGTGGCCCTCACCACTGAGTTCAGGTCAGCAGCCTTACAGGGCTTTTCTGTGCTGTGGTCTAGCTAGGACTACACACACTATTATTTCTCATGCGAAATCCTCCTCCTGATTTTAAAGTGGATACATAGGAAATAAGGAAAATGGGAAAAGAAATGCCCAAAACAAAATTTAAAAAATTCAGATTCACATTTCTTAGATATAACCACTGTAGTATTTTGAGATGCTTTGTTTTCTTTCTTCATCAAAGTCATTTTAGAACTCATAACAAATGAACACACTTTTTAAATTGTGAAATAAAACAAATGGGAAAAAAAAATACAGATTACCAGAGAGCAGGAAGCCCACAGCCTCCCCAGAACATCTCTGATAGGTCTGTCTCTTCCCGGCTTCCTCTTCCCATTCCCGCTGCCCTTTCCCCTCCCTCTCCTCATGCTCACACGTGCCCACTCACCTCCCACTGTCATGCACACTCATTCCCCCACACTCACATGATCACACACACTCATTCATCTACACACGTATGCTTCCTCCTCCCCTTCCCCCACACATAGCAGCTCACGCTGCAGGGCTGACACACGCACACGCCTTCTAAGGGCTCTATGCAGCACATGGTCTTACTCACTACCTTTTTTACACGTGAGGAGAGTGAGGTGTGAGGAGTTGAGTTCACACAGGTAGAAAGCGTGTAGGGTATGGGATACATTTATTTGCATGGTCTTGGCCACACTGCTTCTACCCATCTGTTTTCAGATGGACTGGAGTTACCCAGATTCGTCCCAGATGTGGTGGACTCCCAGTAACACCAGACAGACTTTCAGAATTCAGCACCACTTACGCTGAGGGCATGGGTGGGAAATGTAACATGCAGAAGGCCCTTCCTCAGATTTTCTAGCAAGAAGAAGGATCACTATTGTGATTCCACAAGGGAGGCTTGTAGACCTATGGTTCTCCTGCCCAGGTCTCTGTATTTAAAACATTTAGCCATGTAGCAGACCCTGGAAGGGACCAGCATTATTATTTTAAGATAACTTGGCCAGATCCATCAGTAATGAGCCGCAAGTGATAGAACACTCAGTGGCTTAGGAAGTAAGACTGCATTTCACTCTCATTCGAGCCTGGAAACAGGGTGTGCTTCCAGCACTATGATCCAGTCCAGCAATGCTGCTCACCAGGACCCTCCTTTCTTCTGCAAGCCAGTCCCCTGGCCACTGTCTCCCTGTACTGCCTTCTCCACTGTCTCATTTTTTCAGGCAGAAAATTCCTCCTCCAAACCATAGTCTTAGTTTTCTCCTTTTCCCACTGGTCATAACTGGGTCACAATCACTAACAGGGCCTGAGGTCCGTGTTTAGCGGAGGTAGAGGAGCCATCCCTGAGTCCTGAACAAAATGGTTTACAAATCATCCATTCTGGGTCACCAGATCAAGTGGGTATCAGGTAAAGTATGCGATAGAAAAGAGCCTCCCAATCCTAGAAGTGGGGTAGGTCACCCTGGCCCACCCGGCACTGCCCACTGCCGCCCACTCTAGTCCCTGAGGCCACTGTTCGGTTCACACCTGTGCTGCACAGACCAAGTCTTAAGAAGCCTTACTTCTGAGGTTGCCTCTGCATCCACCTCCAAGTCCTCACCTGTGTGAGACTCATGGCCCCTTGGATACAGTCCTTTCCTTCCTGGCCCCTGGACATTCCCTTGCCAGCTTCCAACTGCTGGTGCAGAGGCATCTGGGACAGACCAGACCCACAGCCAGGGTATCGTGGAGTCATTCCCTTACTACCCAAGTGCTTGTAGGATGGCTCTGGTTTTGTACTTCAAGCACTTTTTGATATGGATGTGTCTGGTCATTGACCTTTTAAAGCCGCATGTCCTTGGAGGCCAGTGTTCTTGACAGCATCCTGCCTTGGGCAAGTGTCTCTTTCCTGTGTGCATTTCTTCTGCCCAACTGCTCTGGGTTCTCCAGAAGCTCTCTAGGAGCTCATAGCTGTGCAGCCCCATCCTACTGCCTCCCTTCCTGTCCTAATCTCTGATTTCTATCTGGGAAGGTGTGGAACCTGAGACTGCTGGACTCCTGTGCTCTCTCCTGTCCTCTGTGCTACTATCCTGCACACTGATCTCATCTCTTGCTCTTCTTCACATGCTGCCCTCTTGCATCTGAGCTCCCAAGGGCACATGTTCCACCTTGAAGCAGTACCTGCCCCTCCCTCCATCATTTGACTTATGAGTGCTCCCTGCCATCTTGTGACCCATAAGCATGACTAACAGGCCTTCAACAGACATCTGGTAGGGGCAACCAGCTCAAGGAAAGCTCCAGGTTCTGTGAAGGCAGCGCTGTCTTGTGCTGTGACTCAGGTGAGGCTAACCGATCTTTGACCTTTGTGGAAAAGGCACCCTCGTTATGGCAGGCCTGGTGCAGGCACTGTGGCCCAGCCTGGGTCATCTTGGAGTCATCAGAGCTCTGATTCTGAGCCTCACACTCCACAGACGGACCACAGATACACCGATGCTTAATTCTTCAGGATTCCAAAGTAGCAGATGGACAACTGGATCACTTGTCCTTTTCCCCATGGCCAATTGGGGCTCTGTCTCCTCTCACTGGCTTCTCTCCCTGCTTGGGTTTTCAGGTGCCCAGGTAAGGGCCCCTGTGCATTTTAAGGACAAACCTTACAGAATACCCAGTAGGCTTCCAGGTCAGGAGAAATTGGGCCATGGAGAAATCTATCCTCTCTGGGACCCAGAAGCCACTCCTCTGGGATTCATCAGGAACAGTATGAACACACAGAATGGTAGGCAAATGTCAACAGGAAGAAATTTCACCCATTTGTCCACAAAAGGCTCCAAATGGGACAAGACAGGGAGAATACAGCTTCTGACCATTCTCTCTGTAGCAAGGCAGGGCCAGGGCTGGGGCCAAATCACTCATAAAGTAGGTGTGGTGGGCTCTACCTAAGCCCAGCTCACCACCCTGCCCTATCTTACAATGTATGCAAAGCGGCTCAGATCTGCATCAACAATCCTGCAAAAGCAAAAGTTTTCACTGTGTGCTGTGAGCTTTCCATGGAAAGAAGTAAGTCCTGGACTCCTAGCTGAGGGCCAATCACTGCAGGAAGATGGTCTTTGTGTATATCTAAACATCTATTGATCTTGGTGGCTTTCGGGGGGAAGTGGTGGTTCATGCCACCCAAGTCAGTGTGCAGGGTGTCTAGTCTCACCTTCAGAAGCAATGCCAAGGCTCTTATCTCTTTCATCTGTACAGTGGGAATGGCAATCCACCTGCCCTGAGGATGAAGACCAGATGGGTGTGTATGAAACCATGCAGTAAGGCTACTCTCATTAGCAACTGAGCTGCCAGTGTGGGGAACTAGGCAGAGCCCAGGTGGGGGTGAGGAGGGCTGCAGGAAGGGTGGGTTACTAGCAGCACTTGAAGAACAGCTGAGACAGGAAGCTTGGGGAGGTAGAGCCCCGTATTTAGGGCTTGGAGGGTAGGACCTTACCTTGGTGTCACTCTTCCTCCCACCTAATCTCTGATACCACTCAGGACCTAGGTTCAGAACTGGCCTGGGAGTGGACAGTAAGGCCACACGACCCAGACTGGGCCTGCATGGTCCCACTCACAGACTCAGTGAAAGGTACAAAGCTGAAGACCTGACCCTCCAGGGAGGACATGAAAGCAGGTCCTTAGCAGCCTCCGCCAGTCACCCAGGAGGAAACACCTCACTCCACATGAGTGTCTCAGTGAGAAGCAGCAGTGTGTTCAGCTCTCCTGTTGCACAGATCTGTATGCTGTGGTTTGGTTTAAGCTACTTTGGACTGTGTGTATGTCACAACTGAAACTGTTGCCAGGAGGGGACAACCTGGGGAAGGTAGATCCAGAGCCCTGACAACTACCTGCACATGCCCCAGAGGCCAGGGGGTTGCAGCATCTCCTTCAATGCCCATGTTCTTTCTGGACCTCAGGGTACTAGAAGTAAGACTAGTGAGGGTGAGGTCACAGCGGGTAGCATGGACTCCTAATACAATGGGAATCAAATTCATATCTTCCTTTGAAGAGAAGAGACACAGAGCAGATGTGCAGGGAGACTGAGGATCACCAGAGCAGAGGCCTGGGGACAGGCCTGGGAAGGGTCCCCTGCAGAGCCTTCAGAGAGGGTTGGCCCTGCAATGCCTTGTGTTTGGACTTCTGGCTTCCAGAACTGTGAGAGGAGCTTCCATTCTTTGAAGGTACCAGTTGGTGGTACTGGGTCACAGTTAGTCCCATAGAAAAGGGACCTGCCCTGCTCTGCAGAGGCCACATGGGCAGGGCTGATGGGAGGAGTTACTGAGTCCCATGCTACTCCCTAAAGGTCTTGTGCATGGTGCCAGGCTCTGCACAGTCTCTGACTCCAACTGCCCTGAGGCGCCATCAGCATGCAGACACGAACTGACTGCCTCAGTTCACCTCATGGTCAGGTGAGAAGCCATAACTCACCAGGAGGTCTGCACAGTACCTTTCTTGGCTGCCCCCAGGAAGCCTTACGTTCTGGGAGACATCTGGGGTGACGATGAGGCTATGGGAAAGGAAACGGTACATTTCTATCCTGGTAAAATCAGGCTTAGCTGGCAGTATGTGGCAGGTTTGTGGTTCTAGTCACTCTGAGAATCAATA